GTAAAATTTTGTGTAATTAAATTTTAATTCAAATGTATCAAGTTGGTGTATCATGCTTAATGAGATGACCAATATAAGTTTAATTTTCAAAGTTTACACATTTTCTTATTATCTATAATTAGTAAATCTCATTATTTGTATAAGTAAATCCGATTATGTATATCTGGACGAACTTGGTGCTTCATATCAGAGTAATCCTGATGATTTGTATCAGAGCAAGTCTGATTATTTATATCTATGAGTGGATCAAACATTTTTGCTCTGTGTCTTCGATACAACATAAAGCCAGCTACTGCTATTACGCTAACAAAAATAAAGAAGCCTATTACACCGCCCACTATTGCACTTGTATTATTTGATGATGACTGAGATGGCGTGAATCCAGGTTTAGGCAAATAGGTATTTGAAGGTCCTCCACTAGAATTCCTGAAATAAAGTTTGTCAATTGTAAATCATCATTTGAATCCTTGGTGATATCAGAAATTGCAATTCCTGCTATATTTTTATTTTTTATAAAGTTAGTTTTATCACTCAATGATTGGTAATCTTCATAAAAAACAACAAAGTAGTAGTTTGTTGAAGACGAATTTTGTTAGTAAAGATATGGTTGTTTCGTATTGTTAACAAAGCCATAGCTACATGATGATGATGATGATAATGTTAGATTTGTAGAACAAGAAGATGGTTTTAATAAATCATTTAAAGTTCCCCATGACCAATATGTATATGACAAATATTCACATTGATCGTGAATCTATTCATCAGTCTTAGAGAGTGTTGAAGTTGAGTTATTTACTGTTTGAAGACATTGATTCTCAATGTCTGACTTAATATTATTGGAAAAAACAATTTCGACGATGCCTCCAAATTCGACGCCTAAAACGAGTTTTGAATTATCTATATAATCATTCCAAGAACTCCAAATTTGAGTGATTTTATTTATCCCAGCACTTGCATATGTGTTATTTATATTAAGATGAAATGCCTAAAATTTTATAATAAGTAAATATTTATAATATTACTTGCTATGTTAAAGGAAGTTAAATCTTACCTGAATATTTACAAAACTAATGATACTGCTACTGGAGTTGATGCCATATACAGGATATTGGCCTGCCATAATCATTAAACTTTTATTGCCTAATTGTGTTGCTGTGGCATTTACAAACCTTAAAAAAGTACTGTTAAAGTCTAAGAGGATAGGAGGGTATGGAATGCTATCTATACTGCATGGAAGCTTAAAGGGATAATCTACGTATAAGTTAATTAAAAAAAAGTAATTAATAGTTATATAACTATACTGTATACATATATAGTGCCCAAGGAAAAATAAGAAACCTCTAATTTTCGGATATTTCACTTCACAGTATACATGGATTGCCGAAATCTAATTTAATGATATTGGTTTAAGTATTGATTATTTCATACGACAAAGTGGTATAACTACGTACAGCATTAGTTGATAGTAGAGCTAGGATCTGTGAATATCCACAGTTAAAAAGAATATTCAATTAAAAGTGAATATTTGGTTACACAAAATTCACAAATAGTTAAGGATTAGAGTATTATTAGTTTTTTACACAGAATTTGTGAATATTCAAGATGAATAATCAAAGATTTTACTATTATGTGAACATTCATATAAAATTTGAATATTTATTCAATATCATTCCTGTATGACAAAAACCCGTGAATATTCATTGAATAGTCATAATGGATATTCAACGGATCTCAGCTCTAGTTGGTAAGTCATACTTCATTAAGAATTACCAGTTTTCGCTTAGCAACACCCAAATAATCACATAACAAAATAAAATAAAATTAGTTAATCCTACTCCATCAAAGCCATTACTAACAACAGTAATTAAGTCACTAATGAATTTCTTATTTTCTGTATTAGTCGAATTATAAAATGGAAGAGTCGGAGGCAGTGTTAGAGATCTGAAAAAAAATTTTTGTATCTTGAGAACAAAAATTTATAATTTTATGTTCTTATAAGTTTTTTAGTGTTCTTAATAATAAAAAAAAAAAAAAAAAAAAAAAAAAAAAAGAAATTATATATTTTCTATATATCATATGAGAATATAAATTAAAAATTTTATGTTCTTAGTTGGAGAACATAATTTTAAATATAATATTCTCAAATTTTTTCAAATGTTTTTGAGAACACTGAGAACATTAGATATCTAACACTGGTCGGAGGAGCCGGGGTGAGGTTCCCGAACAGGAATCCAGACAGATGCTGGTAAGAGAAGTAGGGGGAGGGGAGAAGACTAAAGATTAAAGAATTTAAATAAATTATTCCAATCAGTTGGCAACGGGACTGATAAAATAATCTATAACATAGTAATTTGGTTACTACAAATAATAAGTTTTCTTAATGCATATTCGATATTATTAGCTACCTTAGATGTTAGATTCTTCTCAGCCTTATAACTTGATAGTTCATTAAACTTGCTGAATTGTTCGGTAAATATTTTATATGAGAGTTTACCAAAATCATTATATGTGCTATTATTGTTATTAACAAGGTCATTTAGACCAAATGCTATAAATATTAAATAAATAATTTTATTAAACCTATTTGTAATTAAATAGATTAAAAGCTTTAATTTCACATACCAATATAGTTTAAATAATTAATTGATGGACTGATATCAAAATCTGTATCCGGTATTAAATTATTAGGTTTATAAGCCAGATAATACCCAATAATTGTTTTTGGTTTAGTTGGTAATAGGTGGCATGAATCCTGACTTAATACCTTAAAATACTAGTATGAAAGAGACGTATAAAAAAGCATTGTAAACTTATAAAATGGTAAAAGAACACAAAATTTCATCTTTGTTATAATGGCATAAAAATTTCTAAACAATAAAACACGATTATATGAAATAAGGTATATAGTAAAAATCTTCAATATTGAGAATGGGTCTAAATATTAGATAGTTATAAGTTAGTTTTAAATAGCATTTTAAAATACTGTAAATGTTCACACACTGGATTCTTTCTCTCAATTTTTTATCTAAAAATTTGTAAATTTAGAACACTTAATTGGCAAATCATCATCTGATCTTAATGATTCCTACATCAAAAAAGTTATGAATGAAAGAGATATTATAAGTAATAAAAGTAATACTGTATACCCGAGAGATGGTTTTTTTTTGTCCATTTAATATAGTAAAACCTCTATAAATGCATGCTCTTAGAATAAAACTTTAATAATACACACTTAGAGAACAATAAGAAAAAGTGCATTTATCGAGATCATATATATATATTTGAGCCAGAATTGAGTATGCATTTAGAGAGGGTATACACTTAATAGAGGGTAGTGCACTTATGGTAGTTTTATTGTATTTAACACAAATTCTAGTAAAATCTCTTGTGTTGTCAATATTTTCTAAACTTTACACTTTACTTCAAAACAAGTTATTGTCAATAAATATTAACAAAAAACATTATTATGGCATTTGCAATAATTAAAAAATTACAATTTAATTTATGATGCATATGTGAAATTATTAATTCTACAGCACGAGATAATACTATAAAATTTAATAAAAATAAAAATAACACACTTTTTTTATTACTAAATCAAAATTATTACAACTTTTTGGACTCTTTTTTTAAAAAATATACAAGAATTTTTTTGAGCTATAACAATTTAAAATTAGTGGATCTCATTTCTTCGACATTTAAGGCTAACCCAATTTGGGTGAAGTTTAGAAGTAGCATTGGTTAGCAGACTCAAAACATGTCTCTTTCATTGTTATCTATAAGTAAAATTTTCAAAAAAACATATGAATTTACTATATAACTTTGAGCTAAGATCCTTTTAAATCTAACTTATTAACTTTAAATTAAATTTTTGAGGAATATAGAACAAGGGGAGAAGAAAAAATTGAGCTTAAAAATTAAATTAAAATTTTGCTATTTTTATACAAAACGAAAAGCTAACTTTTTCAAAATCAAGTCTTTTCCAATTTTAAAATGATAAATATATATAAAACCATGCTTTGAGCAACTTTACTTAAAAGATTAAAGTAGATTATCTTGATAGAAAAATGAGTTAGCTATATACTAAAGTAAAAAATTCCAGTTTTTCTATATGCAACTTTTTTTTTACTTATGTAAACTGCTTTCATCTTCTAAGTAAAGTTGTTCAGCATAAAATTTTACATCTATATAGTTTGCTGATTTTCGTTTTCTCAAATCTTTTACTAAGTGAAAAATGGGGTTAAAGTTGAAAAAAAAAAATTTTTTTAGAAAAAATTTTTTTTTTCAACTTTAATCTTATTTTTCACTTAGTAAAAGGTTTGAGAAAACGAAAATCGAGCATGGGGACTTTCTCATTTTTTTGGAAAATCACGGGGATTGTTATAAGGTAGTTAACCAATAAAAAGCTGGCTTTTTAACACGTGATATCATTTTTGTCAAAACAAATAGATAATCGTTAAACAATCAACAGGCATTATTCATATATTATAATTTTCTTTGAAGCAAAATAACCCACATTGTAAAAGAATCCAACTATTAATT